GCTAATTGAACTACACGTTCGAAACGACGATGTAATTCGGTCGACCGGATTAAAAAGAAAACAGAGAGTACGTAGTTACACGGAGAAGACGGTCGATATAAATCAAAGTACATATTTTCGAGAGAGGGAGAGAGAAAAAAAAGGTGGAAAAAATTCAGCGTCGTGAAAAAGCTTCAATTTTGCACACGAGCGGTTCCACGACATTACGAAAGATGCAGAGTCTCGACATTTTCTGCTGCTCGGTCGGTGAAACGGTTCTCCGCCAGGATTAAATCCCTGGAGACGACACGAAGTTAATTAGAACCACGTGTCTCTCCGCCAATAAGAGTTACAACGTTCCCTCCGTGTCGTTCTTCGTGTTCTGCCCGGCGAACCTCCTTACGGCGGAGTCGTAACCAAAAATTAGGTTAGATCGGGATCGTGAAATTCAATTCTTAATGTCGTTAGTCAGCAGCGTTTCCAATCTTTCGTTGCTCTGTGCAATCAGCACCGACGAACGAGCTTCTGCTATCGGTGTTTATCTAGGTGTTAGTGCGGCTTTCCAATTTCAATTTTCACTCGATACCCTGGATTTTCGAAAGTCGCGTTTCGTTCCTGCGATAACGCGGCTTCTTAACGAATTGTCGAGGGAATTATCTTTCGAGACTTTTAGAGAGTACAGGGTAAAAGGGCTGTTCTAACTCCTTGTCTTATGAATTTTTACGTGGAATTTATACTTAACCATTCTTCGTCTTGTACGTGGAAACTGAAATTACAATTATAATCAAATTTTACTGAAAATTTTGATGCAGGTTTTTGTTACATTTCAATTCTTAATACCAGCGTGACCCTTAATTCTACGTTCTTCATGCCTCGGTAAAAGCATTACAATAACCGAATATCAATTCTCAGAGCAAAAAGAAATTTGCAATTTCAAAATCACGGCCCTGAAAACAAACGAAGCCTCCCCGAAAACGACAAAGCAAAAAGCCAAAAAAGAAAAAAAAAACATCGGTAATACTTATTGCAAGTGGCATCAAAGCACCTCGTAGCATATTTTTTGCTTCCCAAAATACCTGGCAGCGTGGTAGGAAAGCCAGGGGGAAAAGGGGCAAAAAGGAGATAGCGCGTTCCTATCGCGCACGCCATAAATATCCCCGTCCCTCTAAATCCGCCCCGAAACGAACGTCCCGAAACGGACTCGTGAAAATCGCTCGGACTCTATACTCTAGCCGATCACAACGCGTCATCGTGAACTTCAACCCTTCTTTCAGCTATTCGACCACAAGCTCTCTGTGTGTAAATGAATTTACAACCTCGGTACGATCACGATTCCCTCGAACAAAAGTTTCACCGTGAAATTTTCGTCGTTGCGTCGATTGTCCGTGATAAGGCTGTCCATGGTGTGAGCGTGTGTACGTATACATGCGTGTGTAGAAGAGAAAAGGAAGAAAGAGATAGACGCGCGCATATGGGACGTGCACGGACGAGATTCTCTATCCGCTCGATAAACTCGACGCATCGAAATCGAGGGGGTTGGCGTGAGTGTGCGAGGGGAATGAGGAGGCTTTGGAATTCACTCGGCGGAACTCAAAAGCCCGACGAATACCCGGTGATATTGGGAGCAGATTGGAAGCCAAGAATCCACCGCGAGATTGAAAAGTTCACTCCCGATTCCCGTGGCAGCTTTTACCGCGGACAAGACGGCCCGGATAGTAAAAAGGCCAAATTAAGTGCGCCCACGTAAGCGGAAAAACCAGCCCTGTCACTCTCAAAGCGAGCCTCGATTTTCTCCTACCATTTTCTGTCCCTCCCACAATCTCGCCCTGTGCTTCTTCGGCCGCCTTTTGTACCTCTTCCTTTTTTTTCAAACTCTCGAAATACCTCAAACGCGGCCTTAGGCTTCCTCCGTGGATTATTTTTTTTTTTTTCAGGGTCGTTTCACGTTGCGAGAGAAAAGGGTTGAAGGTTTTGAACCTGAATTTTTCACTCGTTTAAAATATGCGAATATGTGGAATACCGAGTTTGTTAGAGAAGTTTATTATTGTTGCCTTTGTGTTAGCAGTTTTGTAGATTTTTAAGGGAAGATGTTCCTCCTCGGTTGACTTTCACATTTTTTCAAATGGAGCGTCTCGTATGGAGATTAAATGGAAGAATAATATTACCCTTGAGCCTTGAAATAATATTACTTAACTTACTTTCGTTTCACAGTAGACGGGAAACTAGTTGAAGCGAAATTAACTTTATGCTACTTTCGAGTAAAGACGAAATTCTCCTCCGCTTTAGTATTCCCTGTATCAAATTCCGCTGTCACGGTTAAAATATCATGCTCTTTGAAAGTAGCAACACAACGGGGGAAGCAATTCTTGACGCCTTCTTAAAAAGTTCTCCACTTCAAACGCACAGACAATGCGAAGCTTGCAAACATACTTTCCTCCTCCTGAGAAACTGCCGATCGAAGCGCGAGCGACAAACGTCTCAAAGAAAATTCCTCCTCCTTTGATAAGGAGGGATTTTTTTCATCGTCAGTCGGACAGAGAGGAGATATCGGTTCCATTGGGAAAAACCGTGTCAATTTTCAGTTGTTCCTTTTTCTTTTACAATAATCGTTCGTTATGAGATAAAAGGAACAGCGGTGAAAATTACATTTAAACGTTCCACTTTCTCAATAATTCCAAAGACGTGAAAGCGCCTAAATATTTACGGACAGTGGTGCATCTTCTTCCCATGAAATCTTCAGAAGATCGTTGAAAATCCATCAAACGGGCAATTAGAGTGAATCGAACTCGCGGTCTCCATTTAAACGTATTTAGCCTCGTCGTCTGAGGAGAATGGCCTTTTAATTGATATTCCATAGGTGGGAGCCGAATGTAGCGTTTCCAACGGATCGAAATAGGTCGTGTTTAATTGAAATCGCGGTGTTTTCGTTGAAAGAGCGCGCAAAAATGATCCGTCAGAGGATAGGACTATTTATTTACAGAGCGTCGCGGCGCAACTGCATAATCCTTCCATTGAAATGAAAATCCGCGCTGAAGCACCTGGTGTCTTTTGTGTTCCAACCAGACGTTGAATAATCGTATTACTTCTAGTGCTTAATACCGCGTTGCCCTGTCTACTAAACGAGCGATAATAAATACCGGTTACGCTGCAAATTTACCGCACAGAAGAAAAAACAAGGGAGTTTCATTACATCTGGAATTGAAAGTATCGTTGATTGTGTAATCGTAGGATCTTTCACGATAATTTTTTAATATTCGTACTTTAAATATACATATGCATGACGATTCTTGAAAGCTTCGAATCGTTATTTGAAAAAATTAGCAATCTTCTCGTACGCGTCGTGCGTAATTTATACATCGAGGCACTTTATATTTGTGAAACGCGGTATATATGTGTGAATGTAGGGTGAATAAAATTAGCGGTAGAGTTCTTTGATATGTTCACGTTTTATTCCTTCTTTCACACGAGTATTTTCATGATTTTCCGCGGACAAATTAACGTGGAGACGGTTTTCGAAATTTCATCGCGGATAATCGAAATGATGGTCACGGCCATTAAGGTAATTTGCCATAAGCCCCATGAAATTTTATTACCCGCTGACAGAAATAATAAAATGCCCCCGTACGATCAATAAAATGTTTTAATAGACGCCATTAAAATGCGCGTTTCATTTAAGTTCCTTCTACGTGGCAATGTTCCGAAGTATGGATATTGTTATTGAAGGAATTAACGGTGAAATAATCCTAACGTTGAAAAATTAGCGAATGTTAAAAACACAATGTAGAAAATAATTGGACGTGGTAAATTGTCTTTTAACAGCTTTTTCTACGCAAGTTTACGCGACAGAAATGAACGATACGAGTCATTAGGATAGCATTTCAGCAGATTTTTAGAACTGAAGAATCTCGTAAAGAAATCGTGGAACTGGTTTCCTTTGGAATTGTCTCGTTTCCAGTTCTGTCTGGTTCACGCATATTCGAGAAATGAAATTCCCCAAAAGAGATTCAGGCCGCCTTTTTAGGCTATAAACGTCGCTTTAAACGAGTTCCATCGAGACCTGGCGCCACCGTGAACGCTTCTCTGACCGCGGACTCTTTCAGGTCGAGCAGGAAATTCCTCCTAGCGTTAATTCGAATTTTAGTGGGGCAAAAAGAAAATCTCGAATAGTTATTTAAGTTAAAAATATTGTTTGTCGATGTCGTCGAAAAATTCAGGCGTTGTGTCGTTGAAATAAATTTTTACGACCGCGTGAAATAAATTGTCTCGCGATTGTGATATTCGTGACGATGGATCTGCGAATTCTTCGAATCTTGTGTGGGCGATGCAAATTAGAAAAAGATGACTGCAGATCGTTTACTTGTGAAATTTATGCTGTTCGGTGTATAGAATTTAACACGGAGATTCTTGAAACATTTACGACCAAAACAATATGTCAGAAGCTTCAGCATCTCGATCCTTATTAACGTGCAAAACCTGATTCAAAGGTGCAGATCAGCTGGAGACCTCTTGTTACACGTAAGTTAGAAGATATAAAGAAGATTTAAGGACCCTTAAAGCCACAGGATTCGACGTAAATGTCTTCGTAAGATTCAACTTTGAAATAGTTTAAAAATTATGGGATAACCAGTGGTGTCGTCCACTGCCATAATTCACGGTGGCTCTCCTCCCCATTGGCCCTAAAATGTCTCGTAAGCGCTCCATATACTCGCACTTTCGTTCATAAGAATTAGGACACTTACTGCATGCGAAGCAGATCTTAAAAAATGATCGAGACACACAGGACACTTGCTCAGTGTAAAGCAAACCTAAACAGTCTTCGCAAAATGATTAAGACGAAAAATAAATTGTTCAGCCTGAAATCTCGTAATGCAACATTTTTGCTAATATGTGGTAGCAAATCTGGCGAATTCTGTACGAGCATAATGGGCGTTCTAGCACTTACGAATTGGAGTCGTAAAATTAGAAACAAGGTAGATGCCTGGAGAATCTTCGGGGTTAATC